TCATTTCATAGTGCGCCAGTTGCTTTTCACAAGCTGTTGTCACTACCGCTTGGATAACCCGTGGAGATTAGATTTGGCGGTAGAGGGCAGCCGCACGGACACGCCCCGTTATCCGCGGCGAACCAGACTGTATGAACCGGTTTATCTTCCACAGATGTATCAAGCTTCTGTGTCATTTCAAGTTTTCAAGCCACTTTATATTGTTATGCTTATGAGACCACAGGCCACCTGCAACACGCACCGGCGCCCTGACTTCGCGAAGTACGCTCGCTGGAAACTTGTCCTCAGGAGCAGTTTGTCCCAAGATAGAAATATCGCACCATCTTGGCGCGAAATCGCCTGTGCATATAATGCGCGCCAGGTGTCTTCGCAGTAATCGCATGTTGTATTTGTCTTAAAGAAGCCAAAGTGTTTCAGTGGAAAATCTCTGGGCTACCTTGCCGCGGGGGAGGAGTTTGAAGGTAAGAATCTAGTTTAGAATTCGAAAAGGGGAGCAGTTTAGGAACTGAAGGCTGTCGTACACAACGCGCAATGTTGTAGTTCTGTTGAATAGGAGAGGAGTAACCTTAAGTAGATCTTTTCGCTCCAGGTTGTGTATCAAGCGGCTTCCATGTGCCCTTCCAAGTGTTTTACAACATTTGGATAGTGGATCGGCCACTTTCAACAATGTCGATAAAACCAATCTGGAGGAAGTTCGTGCCGTCATAGAAGATTTCAACAAAGTGGCAGCTCCCTATGCCAAACTGGTTAGTTGTGATCCTTCTTTTGCATTTTAATTAGCGTAGTTACTACCTGTCATTGGTGTCTGTTGCAGTGGAAGGGACAAACGAATCCTGCTTTTGAATCGTGGAGCCAAGACAGAGCTGACGTTGATTTGCTGACTATTATTTGCACTCTTTCTTTTAGTAGGTCAGTCGATTTCAGTGTCTTGTTCATCTCTTTAGTATGGGTGGATGAAACCATCATAATCTGCTTTGGCGTTCAAGATCAATACCGCTGTGTACCTAAAAAAGCACGCTCTTTGCCTAGGGAGGGGCTGCCACCTATTTTAAGAAGCGCTGTGATAACTCAGAAAAGGCTCTGGGTGAGGTCAATCACATAGCTTGATGGGAACTTGTAACGTGCTAGATGGATCACCCAGCCTAGAGCTCTCTTCCTCTCTCCAACCCTCCTTCTCCAACGTCGCAGGCTACTGCAACGCTCACGCGAAAGTTCCATACCGGGTCATCCTTACGGCCTCCTCAGTCTGGATAGGAATCAAAGGATAACGGCACGGCTCAACGGCACAATCTTTTTTTTGTGATACGGCCACATTTCGCACTTTTTCTATAAAGCCGCGGTTCCCATAATTTTAGTCTTCAGACGAAAGCTACAATCTTTTCTTTTCATTTGACCTTTGCGCTTCATTGGATTCGACCATTTGCGGTCCGCGATATCGCTAATCTTTCCGCGCCTTCCTGAAAACCCAGGGACAATCATCGGTCAAAAAGACATCCTCGTGAGCCCATCAATTGAGAAACTTGAGTTCCGCATGGTCTGAAACGCTCTGCTGGAATTGGAACGCCCCAATTTCACGATTGTTTCTTAGTACTATTGTGCTGAGATATGATCTGATATCGCTTAAAAACAAACTGCACATCAACCTCCGTGTAACCTGATTCGTTGCCCATGTGTGAGATGAATGGGCCTGCCGCCCTGCGCAGGTAGAGAATAGACTTTGTCGCGCTCAAGAGGCACAGGAGCGAGGCTGAAAGGCAGCAATATCGTTCTACTCCGCTGCGCCAAGCCAGCCGCACCGCCAAGCCCGCTCGCCTCATCTGGTAGCCAAACGCGCTACTTGTCTGATTTCTTTATGTGGTCTACCGCTCACTATTTCTTTTGCTGCGGGGTTTAGTATCTGCGCAAGTACTGCAGCTTGATAGCACGGGCGGAGTATGGAGCCGGCACCTTGCACGCTATTGCAGCTGCGGACAAATTCAACTCGCACATGAAAACGACCGTCCTTGGAGGTGAGCGTGCAGTTTGTCATTAAAGTGTTATTCAGCGCTGATCGTCCAGGCGGAATCACTCTCACTGTAGGCCCTTCCGCATAAAATGGTAGAGAAGAGGATTGCACCAATGAGGAAAACGCTGCGATCAAAATGACTTCTCAGTACAATGTGCGCGGGGTGCTGCAAGTATCAACGTGCTGATTGACAAGTCAGGCCTTTTGAAAGCTGAGCATTTTTTAACGATCGCGTTTTTTCATGGATTTACCTCAATAGGTTGAAACTACGTAAGCTGTGATTTTAGTTCGTCGTTGCAAGACCTTGAAATGCTCGCAGTTTTCTGCTGGTAGTCTACCTGGCCGAGCCTAGATCCTGCTGGACACCAGTTGCAACAACCCGAAAATGCCCAAATAGAGATACGTCCAACAAACGAACCCCACTTCTATCGCTGGCTGGAGCGCGGAAGTTCGATTCTTTTTGGGACTTTTCTCTAATTGGAAGGCTTTGAAGCTCTCAACTGCTCCGAAGACGATAATGGCGTGGGCAGGTAGGTGAGCTGCAAATACGAGAACAGCAGCTGTATCAGGTCTTAAAAACGGCGAAGTGGTCGAAGTAAAACGCGGCTTTCACTTACAAACCCTAATGACAAAGCAATGAGAAAAAGCCTTTTAACTTATTGCCATAGATGAACTGCACCGGTATGGTATCCGACTAGCCGTTCATTTTTGTCGTTTCTGCGTAGAGGTGTTCTAGCTATCCGAGTTTTGGTTTGGGGCACAGAAGAATATCGATTGATTGATCAATCGACTTCCAATGGTCCTCTTGGCTAATCACCAGTTGCATTTCGGCACCGAAACGGCATTGTTCTCTGAAAACACGGATTATCATAATGGACGGCCTTACCAAATGTCAATTTCTTTTCCTGACCTTTTCATGACTACGCACCATCTGCAATTCTGTAAAACGTAAAAAGAAGACTTTATCATGTTATGAAGTTGTAATACTTCTTAGAAAATAAAAAAAATCTAATAGGTGTACTCCGTGTTGAATGTACTCTCCATATCCCGCAGATGGGAAGGGCGTGCTCGTACTCCGTTTAAACATGGTGAAGGGTGCCCCTTTCCTACTTGAGACAATTGGCATCATGATTTGTGCTGAGCAGGGGTATTATCACACTTGCTCAGATGCGGCAATATCCACACCAAAAACGCTGCCGCCGCAGTGTTCAATTGAAATACGCAGCCACGCCCTTCCCATTTGCGGGATATCGAATGTATATTCGTGAGATGCTCCAAAATATGTATGTTATTTTACAGAGCAGTTTCGAATCCTCAGCTGTTGAACAATCATTATGCACCTTTTAGCAGTGGGGTGAGTACTTCTAGGAACGATTTGGTTGAACTAGTTCTGCTAGATGATTCCCGAAATAATTCCAGGTTTATGGAGAAACGTCTTATGAACAAATGCAAATGATTATCGACCAAACAATTTTCCGTGATTCTGATGTCTTTCTGGACTTAGGTTGTGGAGTTGGACAGTTAGTGATGTATGTTGCTGGAGGGACTAAGGTAACCACTTACTACTTTTGAAGCTGTTATATTTACTACTTCTGTGGCTGTTCTGGCAGCTTGGCAGTGAATGGGGCTCAGTTCGGCGACGGGGAGAGGGCATTTTGCACTTCACTGCTTCCCATTGTCGTTTCAAGCCATCAAGTGGAGATTTGTGAAATGCTGTGAGGAATTGAGAAGAAAAAAACTGCTCGTCAGTTTTTGTAAAGAATACCTGTAAGCTGTGAATGCGACAATCGTAAGCAGCGAACGTACAAAGTACCCCCCCCCGTCACCGAACTGTGCCGTGGAAAGAGTCATTTTCGTATGGGAATGAACTACTTCCAGGTGAAAAAATCTGTGGGAATTGAAATAAATGACTTACCAGCGAGATATGGAGCAGCGATGAGTGAAGATTTCTCCAAGTAAGTGTTCGTTTGTTTTTAATCGGCCCTTTTGTTTATCTTATTTGTTTATCGCTTAAGGTGGATGAAATGGTGGAAGAAGAAGTGCCGCCCGTTCCAATTGATACATGGCGATATGCTGGATGAACAGTTTAGAAATTTGATTACTCAGGTATGCTCTTTACTTATTGTTAATGGTCTACTGGTTTTCATTTTCATTTTTTTTTTTGAAAGGCAAGATTCATGACATCTTGTACACGAACTGATTTATCCTCACTTTGTTTTATGAGAACTTTTTTATAAACACAAATTCTGTTGCTTGAGGTAAAAGGGTAAGAGCGGCCCTGTGGCGTAACGGATAGCGCACTTGCCCGGTCAGTGGGAGATCCAGTTCGAGTACCGTCTGGGGTATGACTTCGTCCACGACTTTATTATGCACCTACCATTCTATTATTATTGGAACACAAGCTACACCTTAAACAGCAGTTATCAAACTGGAACAATTTCAAAAGAGATTTTTTTCAAACGGTGTGCGGCAGGGAGGAGGATAGCAAACGATACTAGGTCCAAACCCAGGTATCTGTTTTTCTCCAACCGAGTTCATACTAGCTACAATTTCTTCTTACGCCGCAATCTCATTCCACAAAACCTCAGTGCCTTCAAACGATCACTTACCAAGTTAGTTTGATTATTTCTCTTCCATGCTTTAACTAGTTTGTTGTTGTTCAATTTTGTTGTTTGTATGTTCGTTTGTTTATTTTTCTTCTCTCAAACTACATGCATTTATGCGTGTCCATAAATAAATAAATGAATAAATACTCAGCAAACTTCTGCAGGTCACATTCAATGACCTGTGAATTCCTCCGACCAAAGTGGCCCTTATCGTACCGTTTCGCTACTTCAGAAGATTTACAGGGTTAACTAGGAAGGAGCCTTTCCATTAATCAACCACCTAAAGAAACTAGCTAGCGCGCAAAATTTGCACCACACCCCTCGAAACCTTGGCATGTAAGTGTGTGCTTGTCTTTCTCTTTTTTTCTTTCTTTTTTCTTCTTTCTCTTCTTTCTTTCCTTCTTTCTTTCTTCTCTTTTTTTTCTTTTTCTGTCTTTCGTGCAAGCTTTGCCGAGATTGTTGATTGCCGTGCAACACATATGGAGGTTATCTGCATTAGTTTAAATGTTACCGGCAGATTCTAAACCAGGATATAGCTTAGCTTACCCTTATTTGCTAATTAGCCGAGCAAAGCCATGTCGATCAGTTTTGTGCGCAAATCGGCTTGGTGGGGCATTTTACTAATTCCTATTGATCGTTGCCAATGACTCCTGTGAAGACCTGGCTATTCCTGTGAAGGTTTGTGAAGCATAAGCTTCGTTTACACTGGACAAGGGTTTACAGGTGTTACCAAGGTGAGACTTGTAATTTGATAGGAACAAGAGGCAGAAACTAGCGAAAATGGTGATTGCCCCACCCCATGATCCTCAATTTTTGAAAATTTTATTTCATAATACCATTCAAAATTTGATGACGTTGACTTTCGAACTCTTTTTTTCCTTTTTGAAAAATTAACACTAACAGAATGTGAGTAATGATTTTCAGGAGGCAACTATCATTTTCATCAACAATTATGCATTTGAACCAAGTTTGGATTTACACATCAAAAACATGCTGGCAGACTGTCACGTTGGCACTCGGATCATCTCCACCAAGGCCTATGCGACCGGCACCAAGCGAGTCAATATGCGTAATCTTGGAGGTTAGTCAAGTGTGTTTGCAGTAGTGTTTGCGGAACTTCATCGAGCGATATCTCCCTGGTAGCAAAGGTTTCAGTACATTGCTAGCCGCGTGATATTCACGTTTTTGTCTGGCATAAGACTGAGGGGAGACGGACAAGACAACCGTAATTTGTCACCTCGTCGCTCGCGGCGTGTAGTGCGGCGATGCAATGTGTATTGTGCAATCTCGATGTGCAGTGTTCATAGATTGAAACGGTGAAACTTTCATGAATGCAAGCGGTGATAAGGCTTCATGACAGACGATATAGAATTTTCCGGTTTTTTTAACGCTCAAAGTCAAACGACCGGTAGTACAACTCGTCCATTGGGTACGGCGTCGCTCGCTACGCCCATTAGCGCGGCATGTTGCGGCTGTTTTGCCCCGCACTCCCGTAATGTCTTAAGTTGCCAAATACATTTTTGAAGTACTGATGACTTTCCATGTGAAATTGAAAGCGGAGATGAAATCACTAATAATCAGTGTAGAAATGAGTAAATGTTACCGGGATACCCGCAGCGTTCCGGTCCGCAATGTCTTAGAAACCCGTACTTTCCCCTGTTTAAGGAACACATACTGTTGTGGTGCAATAAATTAATAAATAATGAATAAACATCCTCCCAGTTCTTGTTACCTAGGTAGACGAGGGGAGTCACTCTTTCCGATGAATCTTGGTCGATGACGGTTCCTACCGTGCAAGTTTCTGAACAGCAAACAGAATTCTTACTTACCTCGAGGAAAGCCTAATTGACGAAATGATAAGGTCTTCGCCGTATCCCTTTTAGGATGAAATCCCCTTTTAAGATGCGGCACGCATTCTACTTCCATTCAGAATCGTAGGGGTTATTGAATGCGATGTGGCCTATACAATGACTTGCGGGGCCAGCCGATGTACAAGTCAGTGTTTTATCCTCCCAGACGAATCTGGTACCAATTTACTGTTCCCGGAGAGTAGAAGGCTTGGTTGGCTTGGGCGGGAGCCGATCCGCTATCCAAACCCCGTGCCGTGCGCGTTGTGGGAGTGCCACATGTTTCTGCACATCTACCCCCTCGTAAAAAGCTTATCCTGGAAGAACTGTAAGTAAAAATCAAATAGAAGAGAGAGCTCCTGTGTTCTATCCACACTCACAAGGTCTAAGTCAGTAAAGCTTAGAGAACTATCTAACTAACTTATCCTATCTGTAACTATCTTATCATGTCTTACCCTATCCATCCTATATCAGTCAATTTTTCAGATGTTGAATCCATAATGGAAGTCACCCAGCTTAAAACGGTGAAGCAACCAACATCGTGGACACCGAATACTGTGCCATATTACCTTCACACCGTTACGCACAACAAGGTTTGTCCCTACTCGTTTATCCAATTGAGTTTTCCTTCCTGGAGCGAAAGTTTTTGCGAGTGCGAAGCATATCAGGTTGTGATTGGAGTTATTGCAGTTTTTGATGCCCCATTTCGGATGCTGCTTTCTTTAGCTTTTTCTTAGAGGTTGCTGTCACATTTTATATCGCTTTGAAGCGCATTTCACGCTCTATGCAGTAGCTCGACCAAATTGGTTTTGGAACGATTTTTCCACCATTTCTTTATTCTAGTTCAAATTCATCAGGAAAGCTGTAGGAAAGGTTAAGGAATCGCTGAAGCAAGTGCTTCTTCTGCAATTATGAAAGCGTTGAAGATGATGAGCATGTGGGCCGGTGGGGCGCTGCTCGGCTTTGAGGGGGCATTTTGTTGGTTGCCGCTCATTGT